AACCAATAATATGAATGAAAATATGAAAGAATGACGGAGACTGGTGATTTGAAGAAATGAGAGTGAGTCCCTGAGGGCAGAGCTCAGGACAATAAAGAAAGAGAAAGAGGAGCAGACAGATGAAGTTGAATGAAGTTGAAAGGCCTCCACCTTTATTGCCAAGGGAAAGGGGAGCCACCAGAGGTTTTTGAAAAGTGGATTTACAGAGCAGGCGTTTTCAAAATACCTACAGTATGTGGGATATATTGAAAAAAAAAACACCAAACAAACAGAAGAGAAGCAGGGTAACCTTTGGGGGCATCTCTACATTAATTATTTTTCTAGAAAGGCAATGAAGATCTAAGTTTGTGGCATTTGCAACAGAGAAGACAAAGGAGACTCAGGACACATCTGGGAACAACAAGCTCTGAGCCAAGTTTCCCCTTGCAATGAAGAGAGGACGATGAGACTTTCGGCACAATCAGTGTGACAAGCAAGAAAAGGAACACAGGTAAGTGCCTAGTGATGTACCTTTTACACAGTAACACCTGACACATATTCACCCACTCACACTTTCATTTGCTCACTAAAACCTGGAGCAGCATTGGGGGGAAAAGGTGAGGAGAAGTTCCCAGTGTAAGCAGGACAGGAAGTAAATTTAGAGGAAAGTTTATGTTTTTGATAGTTTTATTTCTGAGAGATGTGTGCCCTGAAGTTGGTTACCTATTAACTAAGCTCAGAAAGAGGGCCTGGACGAAGATAACAATCTGGAATTCAGCAGCACGTGGTGGGAGCTAAGGTGCTGGCTAAGTTGAGAAGGTTCAGGGAGATACCACGTAGTGAGGTAAGGAGAGACATCTACCCTTTGGAACCGAACAACGGAAAAGGAGGTCAAGGAGAAAAGGAAAAGGACTGAGCAGAGAAGAGGATAAATGGAAACCAAAGGATGGCAGTGAGAAGTTCACCCACCAACTGCCACGCAGCGGTCCAGTAAAAGTGTGGAAGGGTCATTTGAAATCTCCCAAGGGAGCAATGATGTAGTGAACAGTTGGAACTTTCTAGATGTTGAAGTAGAGCAGATTCATTAACTCAATACTATTATTTAGTCACTACTACAATGTTATAAAAGTATATTTATTTATGTATGTGCAAAAGAAATGTTCAGATACATTTGCCAAAGTAAAAAACAACAGGCTGTATCCATTGTGATTGTGTATGTGATGACAGAGTACAGATGAGGATGTATGTGGCCAAAACCTTGTGCAATCATTGTAACAGGGCTGTGAGAACTGTAAGATTAGACTGTGGAGTAGTTTGTAGTGCAGGAACACAGGCTGAAGGGGAGTCAAGGTGAAGAAAAGGACCCTCTGTGTTCTTAATTTTGTATATGTGTGTGTATATCACACACACCTACAGAAACTGAATCACACAACCTTGAGACATCTGGACTGCTAAGCGACTGAACAGTTTTTAGATATTACATAAATAATTACCACATCTTCTATGGCATTAATGCAGTCATGGAGCTGGGGTAAGTAGGCATAACAACAAACTAGAAATTCCTAGTTTGATTGATTTTTATTCTCGTTTTTAGGTAGAAGGTAGCTTTTCACTGCATTAGTGTTAGCATAGTTAACAGAATTTTCACAGCATTTTAGATAAAAGAGAAGAACCTATGGCACACAGCAAGTCTTTGCCATTCACAGAAGGAAGTGATGAAGCCACTAAAATAAGCAGCGCAGCCTCCAGCGCCCACCTGTACCTCCTGCACATTTACTGTTGTAACGTGACTTACACATGCCCCTGACACCCCATGAATCCCATTTCTCAATGAAGACTGCAATGCTACCAAGATCGAAGTTTGCAACTTCAAATGCTCTTTAAATCAAACACCATAAAGAAAGTCCAGACACTTTTTCTTTTGGTGAGAAAGACGAACTCCCAGTTCCACTCTCACCTCAATTGCGTAACTCAAGAGAGCAAGAGGCAACTTTCCTTGGACTCTTCAAATAAACTCTCTTTAGGGATCAGGTTACGCACAAGAAAATAGCTCAGCAGGAATTTTGAAGGAAAAAAAAAAGAAAGAGTGAGCAACTCGGGATAAAAGCAAGAAAGAACCTGAACAAAACATTACCAGCACCATAATATAACACATGCACTGTCAAACATTAGTTATTTGAATGGAATCAGGGACAAGGAGTCAATTTAGAAAGTAGAGATCTGGCAGCAGTGGTTTTAAGAAAAAGAATACACATGTGTGTTGGATGGATGGACACATGACCTAGTTTTGGATAAACGAACTTAAGAAATCATTTACAATTTATGTGAGTCTGTTTCCAGCTAGCCTTAAAGGCAACCTGAAACTGTTATCAATTAGGGACTCATTGATGGATTATACACAGTCTGAAAGAGCCTAAGGCTGGACATCTTACAGATGTAAATATCAGACATGCGATAGCCAGTGAAGTACATTAATTTTGCTCTGAAAAGGGGGCATGAGCTAGAGAGGAGGAGAGAAGGAGCTCTGAGGTCACCTTTCACCCTCTACCACTCCACTCCTATTACAAATGATTGCTCAAGAATGTGGACTTTGGGATGCAGCCACTGCCTGGTGGAATGTCACAAACTTGACATGTAAGCAAGTCAGTTCTCAAATACCTGAATATTGCCAAAAGCTGCTTGTAAATCTAGCTACGTCAACCGTGCTGAGAACAGCTCTTGTTAGGTAGTATGTTCTACTTGAGACGTGCTCTTAGAAACAGCAAAATTCAACATCTGATCTTTAACTATATACCTCCACCCTCACCACACTCTTCCTTATCAAATCCAAGGGAGAATGTTTACCACATTGAAGATGCTTAACATATATTTGTTGAATGAATTTTTATTGTACTTTTTCATTCTAGTTAGTAAGTGGGAGACCATTACCTGGCAGAATAAATGGCTTTTGCATTCACTAAGAAAAAGGCACAATAATATGACTATTAATGATGGAGATAGATATCAACAATGTGCTCCTTATTATACACAAACATAAAATAAGGCAGTGAGGATATAGCCATATCTGCAGTAGGTTCCAGATATTCTAAGATGTGGCCCATTAAGGTGAGTGACCATGGCAGGGGAGCATCGCTCTGGCTCCCAAGCGAGCGTGCCCCAGCCTCCGTCTGCCCCAGCCCACCCTTCTTACTGCCCCCGTCACATAGCCAGAAGGGTGACGGCAAGTCATCTAGAACCTCAACACTGAACAAGATATAGTACCAGAGACTTGTTAGTAAAGGTATTGTCTACCAGAAAAAGGTGAAAATACATTGGAAAGTAGTCTATAATTTCTTCTTGCTTATCCCGCCCCCCCTCCCCGGTTACAAAGAAATGCATGCTTAGTTTAAAATTAAGAAAATTAGGAGTAAAAATAGACCACTGTTCCACCACTAAACATTAACATTTATTATGAGTAAGTCCTTCTGGACTATATCTATATATCTATCTATAACTGGAACACACTGATTTTTTCTTATTAATTCAACTTGAAAAAATAAAAGAATGTAAAAAAATAAATGACAACAACAAAATAACCAAATAGCCCACAAGGTAACATGTACTGTAAAAATTTTAACTACACATATTGTTGGATTAAATTGTGTAGTCCTGCAGCACATTCAAATCTGATCCTGCTCAAGGACTGCTATTTCCACCTCACGTCTTCAGACCCAGCAACATGTGCTGTGTTACTGCGCACATTTGAAGGAAGAAGGATGAGTACTGAATTTGGGAACCAGGAGACTCAAGTTCCAGCTATGCACCTCCCATAATTCATTTCCTCTGTCCGTTCTATGCCCTGCTGTAGTCCCTCTGGTTATGTTTCTTATGAAAGTCATTTTCATTTAGCATCCTTTCTAGTAGTAAACCTCACCTGCTCCAGAAGGTTTCCAGATTTTCAGACCAATAAAAAAATAACTGAGGCCATTATATGAGTTGTTCTAGACAACATATGCCTGGCTGACTTGGGTTGGATCCCTTAGCTAGCAGCTATAGTTTTATGATCTTTAAGCAACATAAAGCTAACAGTTCTACCTTTTCAGATCTAATAGATTACCTAGCTTGTATATACAATTCCCAAAGACTGCATTCTTCCCCTGGACCAAGACTGGATGAGCCTCTAACAACAAATGTTCTGGTCCTCTGGCTTTTCTCTTGGGTTTTACATGTCTGCAAGAGACCTGGAATTTGGGAGATACAGTTCTTCATATTTAAGGATCAGATCCTTCATCTCTCTGGCAATACAAGAAGTCTTAGGACCCTTCTGAGCCTTTGATTTTTCCTTAGTAGAATCCGAGGATTGAGGATGGTAGGTGATTTCTAAAGCCCCTTCTGGCTCTGAAATGGTGAAGGCTTTAGGTTCTGAGGTTCATCAATCAGTAAGTGTGTATAACAAGACAGAGGGGTGAGACACATAAACTGAAACTCTGGGGCAAAAAAGTAGAGACACTAAGTCACTTTGGAGTTACGTGTACACAGGTACCCCAGGAGTTCTCTATATAACAGTTCCACTGAGACCAGTTCAAACCAAAGTTCAAACTCAATCTAAAGCACTATGACACTGTTTATTAGTTAGAAAAGCTCCCTCACCATTCTTCCAAAACACCCCCGACACAAATTAAAAATTATACATAGAAATACAAATGAAATTCAACACCTTCTATTGCAAAGATAACTGGGTCTCTAAAGTAACCTTTACAATAACAAACGTAAAACTCCTAACAATGAGATGATGGATAAAGAGCCAAGCAAGGTGCTTGGCACGTGCTAAAAACAGCTCGAGAGAAAGTGCTCAACGCATGTGGCTGATTTTCTCCATCCTTTCCTTCTTATGAATGTCAACTTTCCAGCAAGAAACATCCTATTTTAAGCATATATTTTTCTTCAAAATTAAAAGGAAAATGTCTAAAGCAATACATTCATTCATATACTTGAATGTGGTGCAATATAGTTTACTTTTATAAAGCTGAAAGAGCACTGACCTGAATTCAAGTCTCGTCCTGGATTGAAGGCCCGGCTGTTAACAGTGGTAGAAAGTCGGTCACAGCTAATTGTTCTAGATACATTGGTATTGAAGTTCCCATCGAATCTAGAAGAATAGGAGAAAATTAGTAGTATTTATTTGGTGGTTATTCAGTCTGGAAAAACAAACTAACAAAAATAAGAGTTTATACTATATATAAAATAGATCAGCTCATAACCGTAAACTTATGATTTAGATTTTAAATATTTAAAAAATCACTACAGAATACTTTGGGGGGAAAATTTGCATCTAGAAGGTCTTAGAAATCAAGCTCAATTCTCAGAAGATACATAAATAACCACCCTACAAACCAACTTTTTTTCATGAATCTGAGTCAGATAAAATCATGAGGAAAGTAAATTCAGACTAGAACTTAAAAAATTCAGACTTGAGCTCTAATGTTACATATGAAACAATTCTTTAAATTGCCCTATCTGAAAATCAACAACCAAGAACAAAAATAGATAGCAGTGAAGGATAAAGAATGCCTACAGAGCAGGACAGATCTAGATTGGAATCTCTGCTAGGTCACTTTTAAATGTTTGTCCTTGGACAAACTGTTTAATTTTTCTGAGTCTCCGTTTTCTTATCTAGGAAAAAAAAAGAAATAATAAAACTCATTCTCCAAAGCAGTACAAAATATTATAAATAATGTACACAAGTTCCTTTCATTCTACATGACACAGCTTGCACTGTCTAGATTGTAATGTAAACAAAGTCTTTTCTGCTTTCTGGAGTTAGCACAGTGCTAGTCCTAGAGCTAGAACAATGTTAGCTCCTTGGCTATACTGGCTGACCAATAAATACCACTACAATCAATGAGTCCTTTGCTAGAGCTAACAACAATCTTCAAGAAAGTAACAGTAAAAGGTACCAGCTCATTAGTCAATAAGAGTATTTTTAAAAGTGAATTTAATCCAGAAGTTAACAAAAGAGATTAAAGATTTAAACTTTTAAGTAACCTTTTCAGAATTTCAGGTACTAGGAGAACTCATGACATTTCTAAGAGTTTCCCCCTCCCCCCAAAGCTAAATTCAATCTGAAACCAGGTTTTTTAAAACTTGTGTTCAAATGCATACCTCAGATGATAAATGCCATTAATGAAATTCCATTAACACAGGCAGAGAGGCTGTATCCCCTGTATCACCCAGGAGAAACAATCCCAAAGCTCAAAACCCAACTCACTTACTCACATGAACTTTGATGATCTGTCGATTGGACCTCATAAGACCTACAAAACTGAACAGGCTGTATAGCAAGGGGGCTAGGTTTGCGCAGTGTGTGTTGGGCTCCAAGCAAAAGTTAAACATTCTGTTTTGAAACACAATCATCATTAAGAAGGTGGTAACTGGATTTTAAGAGACCTTTAGTCCAGCCTCTCACCCACTACAGAATTCCATCGACACTGTCAACTGTGCCTCCAAGGACACAGTTGCTTCACCACGTGGTCACTCCTCTCGGACCTGCTCCAATTTGTTTAGATGAGAAGACTGCTGCCTCGAAAGCCACAGATGGAGAGAAGAGAGGAGATTAATACATCAGCAGCTGGCTGTGTGCGTGCTGGCCATGCAGTGTCATCTCACAGTCCCTCTCTTGTTTTAGCCCTTGAACTTCTATTGAGCAACAGCAGCATTATACAAGTGACCCACTTGCTCTCCATGCTCCAGATGCCACGTTAAATCCATTCCCTCATGTACTTTTTAATAAGGCCAGACCATACGTACGCTTTTGTGGGTCTGCCTGCAATTCATACCTGGACTTCGCTGGTCAAATTACAAATCCCTTTTAGACCTCTGCACTTCATAGTTGGGAAACGCGACACCAAGGATCACAAAGAAAGTTGAGGACCTAAAACGAACTTGAATCCCATCACATGACTCCCCAGTCCAAGGATGAGCCACGTGCCACATGGCTCAATTGAGGTGACACATAAGGAAGAACCTGTTGAAAGGGTCAACTCAAGTGTTTCTAAAAAAATTTTCTAGATAAAGTGTTAAGTTTGGGGAGAGCCCCCTTTTTCCCAAATGGAAGTCTCCACAGCCAGGACCTGTGTTATCAGCCCCACCCCGCAGGAAGGCCCATGTCTAGTACTAGGCTCGCACGGATCCCCTGGGCCTTTGCAAAAGGAACGCTTGCTCCTGCAGACTGGGAAGATCAGGTAGTTATTTTTATAGATTGTTTTCTTTTCTGTATGAAAAAGATCAACTTTAAGAGCATTAAAGAAAACATCCTTGTAACATAAAAAATGACTCATTAACAAAAGTAGGCGCTCAGTAAATATTTGTCATCATAAAAAGGCTTCACGATGTGGAGCCTGTTATCTATCATCTACCCAACCTTCTTTCCCACCATCTCCCAACCCACCGTGCTAACCAGACCTGTCCTTCAACTGTTGGAGCCCAGCTGTGATGCTCTCCGGGGTCTACTGCCCCCGTGCAGAGCCCAGCTCTTGCCGTCCTCCTCCCTGAACATCCTGCTGTCGTTTCCAGCCTGCGATGGCCCTTCTTCCTCCAAACTGACCGGTGTCATTCTGTGTCTTAATCTGTGCTTGTGTCTTTTTCCTGTTTTTTATATTGTCTTGAAATCAGGTTTAACATAGTGTCGTCATGATTGATGTCCACAGATCAACCCGTTTTAGATTCCATTGATACCAACAAAATACTAATCAACAACAATTTAAAAATAAGATTTTTATAAACAAGGAACAAATTATCTTACTTATTTTGCCTTCTCTGATTTTGTTATGGAAGCCTTATGGTCTAAACCCTACCGCCAGCACCGGGACTCCCAGTGCTCTCCGACACCTGTCACATGTTTGAGAGGCCTCATTCCCCTGATGGGACTGTAAGTTTCTTGAGGGTTTATATTTCCCTCTCAGGTCTAGTACATTGCTGGGAAGTGTGCTCCATCAGTTCTCATCAGTGACTGACTAATGTGGAAGGGCAGAGAGCTAAGTCACTGGAAAGGGCTGGTGTTTTAGTCAATCAAAGCTGTATGATGAACACTTCTGGCCAAGATGGAGGTGTAGGCAGACACACTGTACCTCCTCACACAACCAAAGAAAGGACAACAACAATTAAAAAAAAAAAAGCAGAACTGACAAAAAATCGAACTGTATAGAAGTCTGACAACCAAGGAGTTAAAGAAGAAACATTCATCCAGACCAGTAGGAGGGGCGGAGAAGGGCAACCAGGTGGAGAGGACTCATGGCAAGGCTGTGGCTGGTAGGCAGACAAGGCGGCAGCAGGTGGACCCAGCAAGAAGGAGGCTGGTGGAGTGGGCAGTCCCATTTGTGCGCAGATAAACTGGGAAAAACAACTGGGGAGCGGACGGACCTCACAACCCAGGGTCCCAGCACAGGGAAATAAAGTCTCAAACCACTGATTGAAAACACCTGTGGGGGTTGAGGTGCCAGGAGAGACTCCCAGCCTCACAGGAGAGTTTGTTGGAGAGACCCACTGGGTCCAAAATGTACACAAAACCATCCACATGGGAATCAGCATCAGAAGGGCTCAATTTGCTTGTGAGAAGCAGGGGAAGTAACTGAAATCCAGCAGAGAGCAGAGCAAGTGCCACTGTTCCCTCTCGGATCCCTGCTCCACATATAGTGTCACAACCCAGCAACCTGGGTTGCCCCACCCAGGTGAACACCTAAGGCTCCGCTCCTCACTAAGAAATGGGCGTGTCAAGACAAAAAAAAAAAAAAAAAAGGCCCCAATGAAAGAACAGATCAAAGCTCCAGAACAAATACAACTAAGTGACAAAGAGGCAGACAACTTATCAGATGCACAATTCAAAACACTGGTAATCAGGATGCTCACAGAACTGGTTGAATTTGGTCACAAATTAGATGAAAAAATGAAGGCTATGCTAAGCGAAATAAAGGAAAATGTACAAGGAACCAGTAGTGATGGGAAAGAAACTGGGACTCAAACCAACGGTGTGGACCAGAAGGAAGAAAGAAACATCCAGCCAGCAAAAAAATGAAGAAACAAGAATTCAAAAAAATGAAGAAACAAGAATTCAAAAAAATGAGGAGAGGCTTAGGAACCTCCAGGACATCTTTAAACATTCCAACATCTGAATTATAGGGGTGCCAGAAGGAGAAGAAGAAGAGCAACAAGTGGAAAAGTTATTTGAACAAATAATAAAGGAGAACTTCCCCATTCTGGCAAAGGAAATAAGACTTCCAGGAAGTCCAGGAAGCTCAGAGAGTCCCAAAGAAGTTGGATCCAAGGAGGAACACACCAAGGCACATCATAATTACATTACCCAAGATTAAAATGAAGGAGAGAATGCTAGAAGCAGCACGAGAAAAGGCAACAGTTACCTATAAAGGAGTTCCCATAAGACTATCAGCTGATTTCTCAAAAGAGACCTTACAGGCAAGAAGGGGCTGGAAAGAAGTATTCCAAGTCATGGAAGGCAAAGACCTACATCCCAGATAGCTCTATCCAGCAAAGCTTTTATTTAGAATGGAAGAGCAGATAAAGTGCTTCTCAGATAAGGTCAAGTTAAAGGAGTTCATCATCACAAGCCCTTATTATAAGAAATGTTAAAGGGACTTATCTAAGATAAAGATGATAAAAAATATGAACAGTAATGACAGCAAACTCACAATTATGAACAACCACACCTAAAACAAAAACAAAAACAAACTAAGCAAACAACTAGAACAGGAACAGAACCACAGAAATGGAGATCACATGGAGGGTTAGCAACAGGGAAGTGGGAGGAGGAGAGAGGGGGAAAAAGTACAGAGAATAAGTAGCATATATGGTAGGTAGAAAATAGACAGGGGGAGGGCAAGAACAGTATGGGAAATGTAGAAGCTGAAGAACTTATAAGTATGACACATGGACATGAACTAAAGGGGGGGAGTGTGGGTAAGAGAGAGTGTGTAGGGTGGAGGGGAGTAAAAGGGGGAATAGGACAACTGTAATAGCATAATCAGTAAAATATACTTTTTAAAAAGCTACATGATGAGTAAGGCACTGCCATCCTGACAAAGCATGCTGATGTCACTGCAGGAGCATGGGCTTGAGAGATACACAGACCTGGACTGG